GATATCTTTGAACCGTCGAGCTTTAGTGTATACCTAGACAACATAAGTCACACAATCAACCCTTGAACTGTTTTTGGTTCTCATTGTTTTGTTCGTTTCAGCCATGAACACATCTCGATTAATAAGTGCTTAGAGAACTGGCCTTACCGGATTCTCCTTGAAGCGGCTTACACTTCACACTTAGATAGGTGGTTTCTAATTGTGTTATCCCGTAGATACACTATTTGATATACCCTGTATCAAACTTAGAAACCATTAAAAAGTCCTTATGCCTTTATCCTGGTTACTGAACATTGTCTCATCATGAGAATGGACCATCAAATATGTTTTGACAATGTTGAACCGTTATCTATGACTTTGTTTTATCTCCTTGAACCTAGATCTTGGGATCTCCAGTCTTCTAGGTAGAGTTACCGCCACGATGACTTGTTCTCGGCCATAGTCCCATTCCCGTCGATGATCTCTCAACTCCCTCTCTAGTTAGGCCTTTTGTAAGTGGATCCGACACATTATCCTTTGACTTTACATAGTCAATTGTGATAATTCCACTAGAGAGTAGTTGTCTAACAGAGTTATGTCTTCGTCTTATGTGACGAGACTTCCCGTTATACATAACACTTCCAGCCCTTCCTATTGCAGCTTGACTATCGCAGTGTATGTGTAACATCCGACAATTTAAAAATGAATATGAAGAAGCTTGAAATTTGGAAATAGTCATTTTTGGAAAAATTTAAAATCTGGAAAATTTGGCTAAGTGTGGAAATCAGTGAGTTTTTGGCCAACTTTGAGCAGTCATAACTCCTAGCTCAGGATGATTTAGGAGTAGTTCCAGTTATGGTTTCGAAGCTTGTGGAACGATCTTTCCAACTCCACTGAGTTTTCTCGATTCCGAGTTCGTATGAGCGAGTTATGATCTTTGAAAGTTGGGCAGTTGGCAGGGATTCCGTTCCGGAAATTTAAGGGCATTTTGGTCTTTTCACAAATAATTTCTTTTGAGCTTATATTGTTGTATTAGGCTGATATTTGGATCATTTTGTCCCATTTTGAAAGAGAAAGAGTTAGGGTTCAAGAGAAGAAGAAGAGAAGAAGGAGAAGAAGAAGAGAAGAAAGAGGAGATCAACAAGATTTGTCAAGATCATTGTGGATTTTCGTCGGGGGTGATCCCTATCAAGGTATGTGAGTCTTTAGTGTGGGTTTATCCTTTCCCCCCACATACCAAGCTCGTTTTTATGATTTGAGAAGAGATTGGATTTGTTGTTGAAGTTGTTGAAGTTGTTAGTTGTTGTTGATGTTGTTAGTTGTGTTGTTGAAGTTATTGTTGGTTGTGGGACAGGATTGGGCTGTGTATTTGAGTTGTGACCTATTGTATATTGAGGGATTTTATGATCCTTAGTGTTGGTTGGTTCATACCCCCACACACCAACTCGTTTTTAATTCCAAGAGAAGATTTATTGGTTGTTGAAGTTGTAGTGGTGTTGTGTTGAAGTTCTTGCTGATTTAGTACAGATTTCTGGCTGTGATTTTTGAGTTGAATCTATTGTATAATAAGGGTCTTTATGATTCTAAGTGTTGCTGCTGAAACCTTGAGGTTGAGAGGGTTTAGAATTGGAAAGAAACAAGGGGAAAAAGTCGGATTTTTGGGGAAAAAGGGGCTGGGCTGTTGCACCTCTCCTAGTGCCAAGGACACCAATCCTTCCCTTTCATTCACCATTTCTTTTTTTATACATGTTCCTAGGTATTAAACCTATGTTTCCTAGTTGTTTCCAACACTCCAAGGTACTTCCAAAAGTCAAGTAAAACTACAAGTCAAGTGAAGTTAGTTTCCAATTCAAGTGAAGTTAGTTTCCAAGTCAAGTGAAGTCAAGCTTAGAAGTAAGTAAGTCAAAGCAAGTCTTTAAGGTTTTCCAAGAGTCTTCATTGAGCGTTTTAACTTCATTCTAAGGCTCAAGTTCCAAGTTAAGTATTGAGTTTCAAGTCAAGTCAAAAGTTAAGAGTTTCATGTTAAGTTAAGAGTTTCACATCAAGCCAAGAGTTCAAGTAAAGTAAAGAGTTTAAAGTTGAGTTCTTTTCTCAAAGTTATTAGGGAACTATGTATTCCCAAAGAAGTTTTAAAGAAATGTTTTTACATTTAAACAAGGTTGGAAACTGAGATTTCCAAAAAGCCTTCGGGCTAGTTTTTGAGTAATTATCTCATATCAGCAGGAAGAAATATGTTTTAAAAACATAAGAGCCAGTACATTTTTGGGAGTAGTATCGAGCACCGAATTGGGGGAGCGTTCAAAGAACCCACAGCCCCCATAGAACCATGTTAGCCACCATGGGTAGAAAAGGATCATACTTTTTAGATGAATCCTTTTCAGATTAGACTAGTGGATCCATTAGGCAGTTCAGGTCTTATACCTTTGGCCGGGTATAAGATGCTCTGGCAGCGTGAGGTCGATCGTTGTATCATCACTATAGCTCTTATGTGATGGTTGTCGGTTAGAGAAACTCCCACAGCAGTTATTGTATTTTTCATACACAGAGATTATTGTATTTTTTATATACATCAGTTCATTGTATTTTTATACACATTTCAGGCTTATTGTATCCTTGTATACACACAGAGTTCATAGCATGTTTTAAGCAATCTTTCTTTATATCGCACTTGTTTTAAATTGCCTTATATTGAAAGAAGTCAGTCAGGTTGAGTTAAGTTGAGCCAGGTAAGCTATTCAGTTTCTTCCAGTTTTCCTTCTAGCCTTTGTTGCTTAGTTTTCCAGCTTGCATACTCGTACATTTCATGTACTGATGCCAGTTGGCCTGCATCGTTTGATGATGCAGATTCAGGTACCCCGGATCAGCATCCTGCACGTCGTTGATCCAGCTGAGCACTCCAGAGTCAGTGGTGAGCCTCCTTGCATTCCGGAGGACTCAATTATTTTGTGTTCTTAGTTTTTGTTTTATTAGGATGTTGCGGGGTCTGTCCCAACATCCATCTCAGTATTTTAGAGGCTTCATAGACAGACAGTCAGTCAGTTAGTTTTGAGTCTCTCATCTATATATATATGTAAATATTCTATTTTGAGATTCGAGTTGCCTTTATGGCCATATTTTATAAGTTAAGTTGTTTTGTAATATTGCATTGCATTGAGTTATTCTGTTGAGGTTTCCGCTGAGTTAAGAAAGCCAGGCCAAGGGTTCGCTTGGGGCTAGAAATGGTCTCCGGGTGCCGGTCCCGCCCAGGGTGTAGGCTCGGGGCGTGACAGTATGCATATAAGGGCCATTGGTTTGGGCCAAAACGGAATATCTTCTAAAAAATTCCGGAGCCATTCAGCTTCTTCACCTGCCTTGTCTAAGGCGATGAATTCTGACTCCATTGTAGAGCGAGCTATACATGTTTGTTTGGATAATTTCCAAGAAATTGCTCATCCACCAATAGTGAAAACATATCCACTCGTGGATTTCGTTTCAGTTGACCCAGTAATCCAATTTGCATCACTATATCCTTCAAGAACTGCTGGATATTTGTTGTAATGCAAAGCATAGTTTTGAATATCTTCTAAGTACCCCAAAACTCTCTTTATTGCCAACCAATGATTTTGATTGGGATTACTTGTGTATCGACTCAGTTTACTTATAGCGCAGGCTATGTCTGGTCGTGTACAATTCATGACATACATCAAGCTTCCCAATACTCTAGCGTAATTCAATTGAGATTGACTTTCACCTTTATTCTTAGCGAGATTAAGGTTCACATCAATTGGGGTCTTTGCCTTTTTGAAACTCAAATACTTGAACTTTTCAAGTACCTTTTGAATATAATGAGATTGAGACAATGCTAGACCGTTAGGAGTTTTCTGAATCTTTATTCCCAATATCAAATCGGCTACTCCTAGATCTTTCATATCAAACTTACTAGCAAGCATACGCTTAGTAGCTTTTATATTGGCAATGTCCTTGCTCATTATCAGCAGGTCATCCACATATAGGCATACAATGACTTCCTGACCCGTAGTGTCTTTAATGTAAACACATTTATCACGCTCATTGATCTTAAATCCATTTGACAACATGGTTTGATCAAACTTAGCATGCCATTGTTTCGGTGCTTGTTTTAGTCCATAAAGTGACATAACAAGTTTGCATACTTTCTTTTCTTTGCCGGGAACTACGAAGCCCTCAGGCTGTTCCATGTAGATTTCTTCCTCCAACTCTCCATTTAAGAATGCAGTTTTCACATCCATTTGATGGATTTCAAGACCGTATACTGCAGCTAGGGCAATTAACATCCGAATTGATGTAATCCTAGTCACTGGCGAGTATGTGTCAAAATAATCAAGACCTTCTTTCTGTCTAAAGCCTTTGACAACAAGTCTTGCTTTATATTTGTCAATAGTTCCATCATCTTTCATCTTCTTTTTGAAGATCCATTTAGAACCCAAAGGTTTGTTCCCTGGAGGAAGATCAACCAACTCCCATGTATGATTGCTTAAGATTGATTCAATCTCACTATTGACAGCCTCCTTCCAAGAGGTTGAGTCGCTAGACTAGACAACATCGCTTCCTTGAATGTTTGAGGCTCACTTTCAAGAAGGAATGTTACAAAATCAGATCCAAATGAAGTAGCTGTCCTTTGACGTTTACTGCGCCTTGGACTCTCTTCATTGGTTTCATTCTCTTTTGGTTCTTCTCGAGGTTGTTTAGACCCCCCACTAGATGACTCAAGTCTAGTTTTATACGGATAGATATGTTCAAAAAATTCAGCATTATCTGATTCCATTATCGTATTATTATGAATATCCGGATGCTCGGACTTATGAACCAAAAATCGACATGCCTTACTATTTGTGGCATATCCAATGAATACATAATCCACAGTCTTAGGCCCTATTTTCACTCTCTTAGGTATAGGAACCTGGACCTTGGCAAGACACCCTCACACTTTGAAATATTTCAAGTTGGGTTTTCTACCTTTCCATTTCTCATATGGAATAACATGTGTCTTCGTATGAGGTACTCTATTGAGTATTCGATTTGCTGTAAGGATAGCCTCCCCCCACAAGTTTTGTGGTAAACCTGAACTTATAAGTAAGGCATTCATCATTTCCTTTAAAGTTCAGTTTTTTCTTTCTGCAATTCCATTAGATTGTGGAGAGTAAGGAGCAGTAGTTTGATGGATTATTCCATTTTCCAAACATATTTCTGCAAATGGAGATTCATATTCTCCACCTCTATCACTTCTGATCATTTTGATCTTTCTATCCAACTGATTTTCAACTTCAGTCTTATATTGCCTAAATGCATCTACTGCTTCATTCTTACCATTTAGCAAATAGACATAACAATATTTAGTGCAATCGTCAATAAAAGTTATGAAATACTTTTTCCCACCACGTGTTAGTGTTGACTTCATGTCACAAATGTCAGTGTGAATCAGTTCTAAGGGATATGAACTCCTTGCAACAGATTTATAAGGATGCTTAGCATACTTAGATTCAACGCAAACTTGACATTTTGATTTATTGCACTCAAATTTAGGCAAAACATTTAAGTTAATCAGTTTTCTCAAGGTTTTGTTATTAACGTGTCCCAAACGTTCATGCCATAAACATTTAGACTCAAGCAAGTAAGAAGAACCAGAATCTTTATTCATATCAACTGTAATTACATTGAGTTTAAAAAGGCCCTCAGTGAGGTAACATTTTCCTACATACATCTCATTCTTACTTACTACAACTTTATCAGAAACAAATACACATTTGAATCCATTCTTAGTAAGAATTGGTATAGAAACTAGGTTCTTTCGCAATTTCGGAACATACGAGACCCTGTTCAAAGTCACCACCTTGCCTGATGTCATCTTTAGGAGGATCTTGCCAGTTCCTTCCACCTTTGCAACAGCGAAAATTGCCATAAACAACTTCTCGTCTGTAGGTGCTGGAGTATATGATGAAAATAATTCTTTGTTGACACAAACATGGCATGAGGCACCAGAATCTATCCACCATTCTCTTGGATTTCCAACCAAGTTGCATTCTGAAAGCATTGCATAAAGATCGTCCATCTCTCCTTTGGATTCAGCCAAATTTGCTTGATCCTGCTTCTTGTCCTTCTTGGGACCCCTACATTCAGTAGCCTTATGACCACGTTTGCCACAGTTGAAGCAGCTTCCATTGAATTTCTTCTTAGGAGGATTGCTCTTTGGATCAGATGCTTTCTTTCTTTTCTTTGATTTTGTGGGATCTTCTTCAACAATATTTACTCCAGATATTGCTGAATTACCACGCGATCTCTTTTCTGCGGCCTTGTTATTCTCTTCGATTCTCAGCCTTACCATGAGATCTTCAACAGTCATCTCCTTGCGTTTATGTTTCAAGTAGTTTTTGAAGTCCTTCCACAATGGAGGTAACTTCTCAATAATTGTAGCCACTTGAAACGCATAATTCACAACCAATCCTACATTAAAGATTATGTGAGTATTAAGAATAAACTTAATATTTTCAACATAGGTATTAAATAAATTTATACCTTCAGCAAGGAGATCATGGATTATGACCTGCAATTCTTGAACTTGGGTGACGACGGTCTTACTGTCTATCATCTTATAGTCCAGAAACTTTGCCACAATAAACTTCTTCATTCCGGCATCCTCTGTTTTGTACTTCTTTTCTAAAGCATCCCAGAGTTCTTTTGAGGTTTTCATATTACTGTACACATTGTACAGATCATCCTGCAGGCCACTCAGAATATAATTTTTACACAAAAAATCAGAATGTGTCCATGCTTCTGTTACCAAGAATCGTTCTTCAGGCGGAGTTTCATCCGACATAACAGGAACGTTCTCATTAATGAACCTCTGCAGACTCAACATAGTCAGATAGAAGAACATCTTATGCTGCTATCTCTTGAAGTCGACTCCAGAAAACTTTGCAGGTTTCTCAGCCGGTGCTAGGGCAGCATTTGAACGATTGTGTGCAACCGATGTTGTTGCAGCACTTACTGTTCCAGCATTTACTTGACTTGAATTAGTCATTTTTCTGTCACAAATGGCAGACAAATTTAGTATGTGAAATACTACCAGTAAAGACTAAATCTTTACACAGACTGTTTCTGATTTAACGATAAAGTTTTTATGTTCTTTTAATCGTTAACCGAATGAATTTTAAAAATTCAAACAGAGTAGAAAACCATAAAGGTTTTAATCTCCAGAAACCTCAAATACAGAAACTATTAAATTTCTTAAGATTGTTATCTCCTGTATTCAGGTTAGTCAAAAATACAGAAACAGAAAAAAAATGAAATTGACAGAATGATTTTTAATCCGAGTCCATAGAAACCACTGTGTTTCCTTAAGAAATTTAATCCCCTCACTGTACCCGAGGTTGCAGATTAATTCCTCCCAAGATAAAACGGATTAACCTGTTAAAGAAGTAGCGGTACCTCAAACTTCAATAACTTCAGCGAATGCAAGAACAGCAACAAGAGCACACACAGACTCAGTCGATCGACAATTTTATAGCCATTTGCAGCAAGGAACGCGTCTGTTCAGAAAATCTGTTCAGACCCGTTTTTTCCAGAACATTGTGTCCTTTGGGAAAAGTAACGACTTTTCGGAATGAATACCGTTTGGGAAAAGTAACGACTTTTTGGAAGGATTACTGTGACACGTGAATTTCAAATAAATTCAGTTGCGCCAAATTAATTTATAAGAGAAAGGAAATGATTTAACAAGATTGATTAAATAAATTTTGTCCAAAAATATTATCAATCAAATCATTTGCCAAATCCAAATCCAAATCCAAAGCCGAGGCCGAGTGACGACGACGGCGCGAGGGGGTACCTTCTTCTTAACCCTTTAAGAACTAAAGGAAGTGTTTCCTAATATAAGGACAACAATTTCCTTTCTTCTACCGATATGGTAAAAATGACCTTTCATTTGCACTTTTGCAATGATGACTTTTCATTTTCCCTCCAAAATTGGTTCCCCCTTTTTCATTGGTTCTTCCACTTTCCATTTTCTCTTTTTATTTCTCATTCACATCTTGCTAAACCCAACACAACTTTCTATGGTGACTCTATTAATCGTCGCTAAAAGTTAAGTTTTCGTGGCAAGTTAAGAAGTCGCCACAAAAGGTATTTGCGGCAACTTTATAAGTTGCGACAAATATAATGCTCAATTTTTCGTGACCTCTTTACAATATTATATATGTATTATTAATAGAGAATTAAAAGTTCCTGTCTTCGGGATTAGGGCAAAGAAGCACACTTATATATGTATTATTAATAGAGAATTAAAAGTTCCTGTCTTCGGGATTAGGGCAAAGAAGCACACTCATTGCGATAAATACAAGATTTTGTGGTAATTATTCAGCGACACTAACATAATTAATGTTATATATATTATATTTAGCGGTGACAATAAATATGATATTTATAATCAACACTCTATATAAACATCGCTAAAGTATGTCATAGCATTAATTCATTTACCGCTAATATTTATATACGAGGTAGAGGTCAATGTCTAACCCCCTCCCCAATCACCTCGAGTTGGATCGTGATAAGGTCATTTTTGTTGTAGTAAGACTGTAGTACTCTAAAGGGACAATAACACCCTAATCACATTCCATTTCATAACTTTGAATTAGAAAGTTTATATATGTTTGATTTTAGGTTTGGCTAGTGATGTTGAAGAAGTTTGTGGATTATCAAAACAAATGTTGAATAAAAAAGGTTGATAAAAGTATATCATATGGTTCTTATTAATTCACTTCTAATGGAGTTTGTATCTAGCTTTCTAATAATGTTATTGTCATTTTTGTTATAATTTTTAAAACTTTTGTCCAATTGACTGACATCGTTAATTATTAGAGTAGATATACATCTTAGATTCGGTATACAATAATTTGCCAAATTCAAATTAATATAATATTGTATATACCTAGTATATATATATATATATATATATATATATCATGTTGTTCTTTTTAATGTATCGTACAACTATTAGATTCATGTGCTGCTCCATCCTCCCTTTCTTATGTTCTAGGATGTTTTTGTTTGTCATAATATTATAGTTTATGATTTTATTATTTGATAAAAAAAAATTATTCCTAGTACCTGCATACCATAAAATATATCTTATAAAAATATATCTTCAAAAGAGACCAGACCTTGGGTAGGCATCACCTATGCTAGACTTAATGGTCCTACGAAGTGTAATATATCAAAAAAACTGAAGTTCAATTATTTTTGTTTATTTTAAATAGAAACGTATGAACATCATATATCTAATTAAATTACGTGACTATAATATCCAAATATTCTTTTTAAAATAAAGTACAAATAAAATAATAATGTCAAAATAAGTTACCCCGTGAAATTGTTAACCATGTTGGAATTGAAAAATGAAAATTGTAACCAAACATCCAAAAAATGGAATAAGAGTATAAGACAAAGTGATGCAAGTAGAGATTAATCAGGTTTGAAGTACGAAAGATTTCATATGTTTGGATATATATAAAATAACTTATTTTCGTTTTTTTTAGTCAAAAAGGTAAAAAATTATTCAACATTTTCGCTTTTAATACTTATTAATGATGGTAGTTGTGATTGTAATTTAATAAAAAGAGTACAATTATGTGGTTGAATTTTCCTGATAGATTTTTCTAATTATAACTTGATTTATTTACTTTTAATTAATTCACACATTTTTTGACTAACTATAGTCAAGACTAGAGTACTTATACTTAAAAAGTGAGTACAATTAAATTGGACAAATTAAAATTGTTAAAGTAGTATTAAACAAAATTAAGAGGGTAGATTTAGATTCCAACACCTACCAAATGAGTCAGATGAAAAAGATATAACTTAAAAATTGCAATTTCGTATATCATGTGGTTCTTTTTAATTAATCATGTATTGATTTGTCTTATCTTAGATAAATAATTGATAAACAAAATATATTATTATGTGGTATCCCTGGTGCCTACATACCATAAAAATTAATGAATTGAAGTAGTTGTGCTAATTAAATCATAAAATTGGGAGGAGAATATTGCGTACGTAAGATTCCCAAAAATAAAACGTAGGTTGCATGTGATATTAAAAAACTTTTAATGTTTCATGTACTATAATTTATTATTGGAAAATGATATAGAGACTTGGGTCCATTCAGTACAGGTTTAGTTTGTTTGGAGTGATTTTACATGAATAACTTTTATAAGGAGTGATCTTGAATTTTTGGTTACGTTTTGTATAAATATAAGAAAAAATGAAGAAGTTAAATAAGAATATGAGACAGTTAAATAAGTCAAATTCAGTTGAACTTGTTCAATGTATCATAAGTTATACATCATAAGTAAGTTATAACATTGCATGTGTTGTTGATTTGTTCACAAATTACAACGGACGAATAAATTTTGATATTATTTATGCTACCTATTGTGATAAATTGGTTAAAAATTTGTTATGTACTAGAAAAAAAGTAACTCATTTGTATTGTTCAATTGTTCACCATATTTCCCCCAACTTTATAAATCTTCAAATATCACAAACCTCCTTTTTCTTCTTCTTCTTTTCAAATTAAAAGCTACAAATAAATGTCCAAATATAATCATACAAACTTTTTTACCTCCAAATATTAGTCTATTTGACTATCGGTCACATAAATTGGGACAGAAAAAGTAACTCACAAGCATACCGTGCTTTATTCAACATTTCTATAGAGTATTCCTTGCTGCTTGAGTGTTAGAATTTTTGCGACAACTTTCTATGGTGACTCTATTAATCGTTGCTAAAAGTTAAGTTTTCGTGGCAAGTTAATCAGTCGCCACAAAAGGTATTTGCGGCAACTTTATAAGTTGCGACAAATATAATGCTCAATTTTTCGTGACCTCTTTACAATATTATATATGTATTAATAGAGAATTAAAAGTTCCTGTCTTCGGGATCAGGGCAAAGAAACACACTCATTGCGATAAATAAAAGATTTTGTGGTAATTATTCAGCGACAATAACATAATTAATGTTATATATATTATATTTAGCGGTGATAATAAATATGATATTTATAATCAATACTCTATATAAACATCGCTAAAGTATGTCATAGCATTAATTCATTTACCGCTAATATTTATATACGAGGTAGAGGTCAATGTCTAACCCCCTCCCCAATCACCTCGAGCTAGTATAGTCTAGGTGAATGGTTTATTAGGGGAAAAAAAGGGTACGTAGTTTTGTGGCAAGTTGATTATTTAGTTGTGGCAAATATTTGTTGTCTCCACAAGAAGGTATCAACCAAGGGAGGATCTCAAAAGACAACGACCTTTACTCGCCACAAAAAAAACTTTTTGTAGCGACATTGCCACTCTGTGGCGAGTTGGATCGTGATAAAGGTCGTTTTTCTTGTAGTGAGACTGTTAGCACTCTAAAGGGACAATAACACCCTAATCACATTCCATTTCAGAACTTTGAATTAGAAAGTTATATATGTTTGATTTTAGGTTTGGCTAGTGATGTTGAAGAAGTTTGTGGATTATCAAAAGTTTCAGTAATGTAGTGTAATTATTAGAGAATATCTTTATTTAGGGGAGAAGTTGGTGCATCATTAAAGAATATATCATTTAAAAGTTTTTCTCCATTAATAAAATATAAATTTTTTTGTCTCAATTTATGTGGCACAGTTCGAATATTTTCAAGTGTCAAATAATTTAAGTTTAATTGTAAATTTAGATATGAAATCTTCAAGTTTTTTGAAATAGAATTCATATATTTGAAAATTACATAAAAAGTGTTATAAGTCATAATAATTGAAAATTCAGAATATTTAAAAGATATATGAAAAAATTATGATCAAATAAAAATTTATTTGAATCACAAAAGCTAAATATATAGTGCCACATAAATTGAAACGAATGGAATAATATTTAGTTTCTGATACTTTCTATAAAAGTAGAATAGATTGCGTTAGGTAAGAGTGAAAGGCTCGATTTATCAATGCTTTTGGTCAATGTGCTTTAGATTCCAGTT